GTGCTCAGCTCAGCCCGCCCCGCCTACGGGAACACCGTCCTCCTCCTGCGGAATCCGGGGTCTGGAAAGCCGCGAAAAGCCACTCGGGAAACCGCTCACTCACCTCTGACCCCGGCCAAGATCTCGCGTGCCTAACCGTCCGCAGCGGTCACGCCTCTCCCACCCGCCACCGCCCACCTGTGCGGGATGCCGGCGCGCTGGGCGTCATGACCGCGCCGCTGACTTTGCCGGAATGCGACGTGCGGGAACGGGCCCCGCGCTGGAGGCTGCAGGCTCGCTCCGCACGTACCTCACGGGCGCGCCGCAGCTCAGCTGAAGGGTGGTTCCGGCGTCCGCACTTCCGACTGGCGCGCAGGGCGGAGCGAGCCTGTAAACCGCGGGCGGAAGAGGTGGAGCTGGGACGGCTCGGTGGCCCCGGGAGGCTCGCGGAGCCAGGGGGTGGTGTTGCAGGGGTTGGTACCTACAAGGTTCGTGGGGACTGAGGTCCGGCAGGGGGCGGGGTCCATATTCTCCTTCGCTGGCCCATCTTCCAGTACTGTAAAATGCGGGATAGGATGTGGCTATTTGGTGGGTAGGCTGCCTTTTTGAATTTCTAGAACGAAGAAACTTGCCCTGAGCTTTTATTGCCCAACCCATGCAAATGGAAGGAAATGTCACCATTCCTACAGTTACTAGTCCAAGCCATTCAGCCCTCGATAGTGTATCGTAAAATGCCAATGAATTTAATGTTTAAAAAATTCCAAAAAAACAGACAAAAGTAACCTCACTGGGGAGTTCTAACAATTCAGAAATGGAATAACCAGGATATATTGCAATGTCTGATTGCAGTTCTGTACCTTTAAACAACTTTGATTTTTTGGTTATAAACTTTATTGTTAATATTGAGGTGAAATTCACAGAATATAAAATGAAACATTTTAAGAGTATAATTCAGTAGCATTTGTTACGTTCACGATGTGCAACCAACAACTCTTAATTCCAAAACATTTTTATCACCTCCATTAAGGACTTTCCATTTTTCCCTCTCTTAGACTTTAGCAGACAATAATTACTTGGTGTATTTACTTAATATGGATATTTCACATAAATGGAGTGTGTGACCTTTTTTGTGTCTTTCACTTAGCATAATGTTTTCCAGGTCCACACACCTTGTAGCAAGTATCAGTATCAGTATTTCATTCCTTTTTATGGTTTATATTCTGTTCCATTGTATGTAAATACCACAATTGTATGCATTCCTCCATTGGTTACCATTTGGGTCATTTACACCTTTGGGCTATTGTGTGTAGTGCTGCTATGGATATTTGTGTGGAAGAATTTGAGTCCTGGTTTTCAATTGGCGGGGGGTGTAGGATGGTATATACTATTACAGAAAACCAGGGCCTGACATAGTTCAAGTATTAAAAAGAGATTTTAATCAGGAACTATTGCAAAAGAGGGAAAGAGACCTCAGTATAGAACTGAGCTCACTTCCAAATAGAGCATGAACAAGTAGGGATTTATAGCCAAGGAGCAGAGTTGGAGGGCAGTGGGTGGATTTTTTTTTTTTTTTTTTTTTTTTTTGCCTCTTTCTCTCCCTCTATTTTTTTTTTTTTTGGATGGAAATTTCTTAGTAAGAAATACAAGGATTGGGGGAATTCTGGCTAAGTTGACTTGACAGGGTTCTGGCTGAAGGCACATCAGAGTGATCAGACACCAAGGGTGGAGATTGAGAGTTTGATCAGATATTGAAGGTGATCAGATATCTAGGTGGGTGTTCTTTGTAATCTGATTTAGGATTCTTGCTACAACTGGTTGATACATGTCCCACAAGGCAGACTAAAATCATGGAGAGAGTCTTTGCCAAATACTAGGAGTGGAATTTCTGGGTCATATGGTGATTTTATCCTTAAATATTTGAGGAGTTGATAAACCATTTTCCACAGTGGCAGAGACATTTTATGTACTAACAACGTGTGGTGGTTCCAGTTTCTCCACATCCTCACCAACATTTCTCCTTCCCCTCCTCCTCCTCTTCCTCCTTCTTTTTCTTTTTTTTTTAATTAAAAAAAATTTTTTTTTTAACGTTTATTTATTTTTGAGACAGAGAGAGACAGAGCATGAACAGGGGAGGGGCAGAGGGAGAGGGAGACACAGAATCCGAAACAGGCTCCAGGCTGTGAGCTGTCAGCCCAGAGCCCGACGCGGGGCTTGAACTCACGGACCGCGAGATCATGACCTGAGCCGAAGTCGGCCGCCCAACCGCCCAACCGACCAAGCCACCCAGGCGCCCCTTCTTCTTTTTCTTCTTCTTTTTTTTTAATTATAGCCATCCTACTAGGTATGAAATAGTATCTCATTGTGGTTTTGATTTGCATTTTCTTAAGGCTAGTGATGTTACACATCTTTTCATGCCCTTTTGTCCATTTATATATCTTTGGAGAAGACATTTTTCAAGTTATTTTTTTTATTCAAGTTTTTTTTTTATTCGTTACTTTATTCAAGTCCTTTGCCTCTCTTTTTTTTTTTTTTCAATATAATTTATTATCAAGTTGGCTAACATACACTGTACACAGTGTGCTCTTGGTTTGGGGGGTAGATTCCCGTGATTCATCACTTAAATACAACACCCAGTGCTCATCCCAAAACGTGTCCTCCTCAATACCCATCACCCGTTTTCCCCTCTCCCCTGCTCCCCACCCATCAATCCTCAGTTTGTTCTCTGAATTTATGGTTCTCCCTCTCTAACTATATTTTTCCCCTTCCCTTCCCCCATGGTCTCTGTTAACTTTCTCAAGTTCCACATATGAGTGAAAACATATGATATCTTTCTCTGACTGACCTATTGCATTTAGCATAATACCTTCCAGTTCCATCCACATTGCTGCAGATGGCAGGATTTCATTCTTTATCATTGCCAAGTAGTATTCCATTGTATATATAGACCACATCTTTATTCATCAGTTGATGGACATTTAGGCCCTTTCCATATTGTTGAAAGTGCTGCTATAAACATTGGGGTATATGTGCCCCTATGCATCAGCACTTCTGTGTCCTTTGGATAAATTCCTAGTAGTGCTATTGCTGGGTCATAGGGTAGTTCTATTTTAATTTTTTGAGGAACCTCCATACTGTTTTCCAGAGCAGCTACACCAGTTTGCATTCCCACCAGCAGTGCAAGAGGGTTCCTGTTTCTCCACTGCCAACGTCTGTTGTTTCCTGAGTTGTTAATTTCAGCAACTCTGACAGGTGTGAGGTGGTATCTCAACGTGGTTTTGATTTGTATTTCCCTGATGATGAGTGATGTTGAGCATCTTTTCATGTGTCTGTTGGCCATCTGGATGTCTTCTTTGGAAAAGTGTCTATTCATGTCTTCTGCCCATTTGTTCACTGGATTATTTGTTTTTCAGGTGTTGAGTTTGGTAAGTTCTTTATAGATTTTTGGATACTAACCCTTTATCCAATATGTCACTTGAAAATATCTTTTCCTATTCTGTTGGTTGCCTTTTAGTTTGGTTGATTGTTTCCTTTGCAGTGCAGAAGCTTTTTATCTTAATGAGGTCCCAATAGTTCATTTTTGCTTTTAATTCCCTTGCTTTGGAGATGTGTCAAGTCAGAAATTGCTATGGCTGAGGTCAAAGAGGTTGTTGCCTGCTTGCTCCTCTAGGGTTTTGATGGTTTCCTCTTTCACAATTAGGTTTCTCATCCATTTTGAGTTTATTTTTGTGTATGGTGTAAGAAAGTGGTCTAGTTTCATTTTTTTGCATGTTGCTGCCCAGTTCTCTCAGCACCGTTTGCTAAGGAGACTGTCTTTTTTCCATTGGATACTCTTTCCTACTTTGTCAAAGATTAGCTGACCATACATTTGTGGGTCCAATTCTGAATTCTCTAGTCTATTCTATTGGTCTATGTGTCTGTTTTTGTGCCAATACCATACTGTCTTGATGTTTACAGCTTTGTAGTAGTGGCTACAGTCTGGGATTGTGATGCCTTCCGCTTTGGTTTTTATTTTTCAAACTTACTTTGGTTATTCGGGGTCTTTTGTGGTTCCATACAAATTTTAGGATTGTTTGTTCCAGCTTTGAGAAGAATGCTGGTGCAATTTTGATTGGGATTGCATTGAATGTGTAGATTGTTTTGGGTAGTATTGACATTTTAACAATATTTATTCTTCCAATCCATGAGCATGGAATGTTTTTCCATTTCTTTGTGTCTTCAATTTCCTTCATAAGTTTCCTATAGTTTTCAGCATACAGATCTTTTACATCTTTGGTTAGGTTTATTCCCAGGTATTTTATGGTTCTTGATGCAATTGTAAATAGGATCGATTTCTTGATTTCTCTCTCTGTTGCTTCATT